CCCACCAGCCCCTGCCTCCCATGGCACCCTGGCTCGTCGGCCAGCCCCGGAGGGATGGTCCGAGGTGAGGGGACATCCCCTCTCCTCCAGCCAACATCCTCGCTGGCAAAAGCCGCCGGCCGTAGCTGCGGGCATCCTCGACGCACGAGCAGCGCCCTGCATGGAGCCAGGCGGCCGGAGGGGCCGTGCCGGGTGCCAGCGAGCACTGGTGTGACTGTGGGGCATCCCGCACCGGGAACCCCGACTTGCTTTTTTTTTTTTGCCAGGAGGGGGGGGTTTCTTTCTCCTGTATTATTTTAGCAATAATCCCAGCAGCAAGGAAGATTTATGGCGTTCGTCAGCCTCTCTGCAAAATCATCAATAAAGGCAGACAATACAATTTACTCAAACCTCCCTGGAAGCTCAACAGCTCTGGAGGGGAAAACACGGGCAGCCATTAAAGTTACAGAGCCGGGCGTCTCTCTGCGGTGCAAAGAAAAGGAACCAATTAATACGGGAGGGGGTGGCTGGGGCTTAATCCTTCTGGGAGAGCAGAGCTGGTAAAATATTCCAGCTCGGGGAAGGCGTTAGTTTTTCCAGCTAGACAAGTGTGCTTGTTCTCCTCTTAATTGCACAGTTCCACTTCCGAGGGGAGGAAGAGCCACTGAGGGTTTGCTTGTGGGCTTCTCAACCCTGGGTTGAGAAGGAAGGGGGAATGGCAAGCTCCCCCAGGAACGTCGTCCCCTCGGTGGGCAAGACGAGCCGCCCCGCCAAGCCCAAGCCGGGAGCACCCTCCAGGCTCGCTGCTGCTCCTCAGGGTTTGAAACGAGAGGAATGTCCCCACGGTGCTGCCGGGGAGGTGTGAGCTCCCCTGGTGATGGCTTCGGTGTGAGCCGTGCTCTCACGGCATCGCTGCTGAGCGCGCACGGCAAGGCCCCGCTTGCTACGTCCCCACCGGAGCCAGGCTGGCAGCAGAGGGATCAACGGACGCCAGAGGACTTCGTGGCTTATCAGGCATCACCCCACCTCCATCCCAGAGCACCAGGGGAAGGAAAACCCATCCCCTCTCCCTTCCCTGCCAAATCCCCTTCCTCCCCTGGCACCCCACCACTGTCCTCCACCACCAGCAGACCCCAGGGAATCCCCATGGAGCCAGGGACCAGGTGGGAAACACCCACAAGACCCGAATCCCCCTCGTCCACAGACCACCCCTGGCGAAAGACAGCGGAGCTGCCGCCATGAGCACCAGCCCAGGGATCCTTTCCTCCTCCCCGCGCCATGCGTGGCCCTCGCTTTATTTACCGCATACTGTTTCCCACCCTGCTGGGAAGACAGAATTATTCATTTCCTCGCCAGCTTTTCTGTGGTGCGCATCACTACAGCGCTGAGTGCTTTGCAAACAATAATTAATTAACCTCTGCAGCCCGCCTTGTGCACACGGGGGAATCTGCTCGTCCCCCTTTATTCCAGGGGAAGAGACGCAAAAGTGGGACTCGCTCCGAGGTGGGAGCCCCACTTTCCAGCGTGAGCCTCCGAAACGCCCACGGGCCAAGGCAAAGCTCCCTCTGTCACCTTGAGTTTGGGGTTTCGTGGTTCGAAGTGGTGCTGGAGTGCTTGCCGCTGACAGGTTCAACCTCCAGGATGGGGAGCACGGGCTCAGGTTGATTCTCGGACACGTTTCTGCCGACGGTCTCCTTTGATTCAGCCCAGAGTGATTCAGCCCAGTTGGGCATGTGGACTATGAGAGCTTGCGGTGATGGAGACGTGGGCAGGAGCCTCACCGAGTGCTTGGATGCAAGAAGGTTGAGGTAAGGGAGAGCCGAGAGACTGTGGCAGATCTCTGGGCTCAGCCCAGGCTGGGTGACGCCCTGCGAGCGCCAGCTCTCATCCACCCACAGAGAAAGGCTCCGGCACTCGACCGACAGCACCACGCAAGGCTGCACACTCCCTCGGGGAGCACTCCGGAAACCCTGGCGGGCTCCAGGAGGGAGCAGGGCTTTTTTCAGAAGGATAAATTTTGATCCGATTACGTTTCTCACTTCGAGACAAGGCAAAAGCTTTGCCCGCACTTGAAGCTGCCACTACAAGTTCCCAGCCGACAGCGCAGGCCAACCCTCCAGGGTCCCAGAAATGCTGACCGCCATTTGCCAGAGGAAGGATCGGGTCCCTGCAGCGTGCCTGGGCTCTCAGTCAGACTTCGGCTCTGCCTTTTAGGCTGGCGGGTCCCAGAGGGGCTCCTGGGCTGTAAGGAGATCCTTCACCCACAGCCAAAAGGGTGGGTGACAAAAGCCCAGCTGAGTCTTTTGGGGTGCACAGGTAGGCAGGAACAGCCTCTGCAACGGCGGCCTGAGGAAAGGGAGGCTTGCAGGGGGGACAGCCCTGCTGCTGTCTCTGAAGCCGGCAGCGTCCTTGTGCTGCAGCGCCCATGCTCCCAAAGCTGGTGTCTAAGACATGAGCTGTCAGCCATGAGGGAAAGCGGCTGTTCCCACGCCGGGGTGCTCGGCGCTGGGCAAAGCACAGGGGCCGGGTGAGGATGAATCGCAAGGAGGATCGCTGCAGGCAGAGATGGGCGCGAGGAAGGGATGGGACACTCGGCAGGCACATCTGCAGCCAGGAGGGATCCTCCTGCGATGCGCAAAGAGGGCGACAGGCGTCATCAGCATGGACACAGTGTCATGTCACACCTCCACACCCTGCCAGGAAGGTCACAACCCTTCGTTGCCGGTGCTGGGCTTCATCATAGCACGAGGCTTCTTCCCCAATCCTAAATACCTTGTCAGAGCTGGAGGGATGTTGCCAAGGGATATAAGTAGGTCTTGGAAAAACAACCTCTCACCACCTGCTCTCCTTCTGGAACAACAGCAGCCGTCACCCCAAAAGTCAGCGGGAGATGTTTAGAGGGTATGGAGGAGGCAGCAGACGATGTTTCCAGCAGTGTGTGGAGGGCAGGGTGGAGGGAGAGCACCACAGATTATTATTAACTTGGCCTCGCAGCTCACGAGATGACAAGCTGAAGACTGTAATAGCTGCTCAAGGCAGGACTTGGTGACAAAAGCCCAAGCGTGGATAACAAATGCTGGAGAGGAGGAGAAAAAGAGAGGGAACGGGGGTAAAAAAATCCTCAACAATGAAAATAATCCCAAAACGTGTTGTGCACAACACCCAGTGGAGATTTCTAAAAACAGCTCGTGCGAAGCTATTTTAATCTCACTTTTGACAAGCGAGCGGGTGTGATAGAGAAGGGAGAGCACAGGGATTATACCCGGGACCGGGGCTTCGGCACAGCGCCGCAGGCAGGGGCACGAGCCTGGGACACAAACCTGAGCGGCAAGAGGTGTGGCCAGAGTCCCTGCCACGCATCGCGGGCATCGGCAGAGTGCTCCGCTTCGAAATGACGCCCGCTGGGTTTCTGCTGCGGCCGGGCTGTTGTGCAAACTGCGAGTGTGCCAAAGGACGAGACGGGAAACACGTTGGTGCTCAGCCCAGGCTCCGGCGGGGAGAACCTCCCGGAGCAGGAAGGAAAAGGCAGAGCGGTCTCTGAGCTCTGGGAAGAGGGGAGTGCTGGGGCTGCTGGAGAGCGAGCAGACGTGTGATGAAGAGGATAAATTGATAAGAACACCAGATAGGATGGGGAAAGCAGAGCCGGGAGGGGTTATAAGGCAAATTAACCTTCTTACGGTAAGTGCTGGGGGGGGAAGGGAGGCCAGTTAATGAGAGCCCGTGAACCATCGCCCCAGAAGGGAGCCGGGCAGGGGGCAGGGGAAGCCGAGGAGGTGAAAGGTGGCTGTAACAGCAGCCCGGAGAGCACAGGGATCTCGATGATCCTTGATGTGTCCTGCAAGAGTGCATGGGACTCAGCGGCCTCTCTGCACGAGCTGGGACTTTCCCAGATGGACAAAACCAAGCAGGAGAGATTTCACCTCCTTGGTGCATAGATCAAGCTCTGCCCGCAGGGATTGCCTCGATTCACAGACCATGAAAACTTGAGCACACACAGATTTTTCTCCAGACGGAGCCGCCGAGGTGCCCCAAGCAGTAACCAAGGCGGCCAGGACCTCCTCAGACGACTCTGGCGCTGGGTGAGTTAGGTTTTGGCTGCATCCCCACCCTGGGTCCCGGGGGGGGAAGCCAGGTGGCACGTTGTGGCGTCTTGCAGGATGAAGACGCTCCCAACCGCCGCATTCGGAGTTCACAA